CCGACCAACTTTTTATGGGAGTAGAAAGCCTTGTCTTTCTCCCAAGGAGTGGCTGATGATTTCGGTCTGCTCAACTTGAGGTTAACAGTCCAACACCAGGGCATCTAGGAGTACTTGAAATTTCTGCCCATGAGATCCCCAAGGGAGATGCTTCTAGTTGGGAGGCTGGCAAAATAAGACATGGTAAAGATGTTTTGGCTGCCAATTCAAATGCAGAGTCCCAATGCGCTAGGTTGGAACTGAGGTGAGCTGAAAGGCGGGAGGCAGAGCAGGCATTTAAGCTTGGTCAGTTTCCCTGAAGCCCAAAGCAGGGCCAGGCATTAACATTGCAATGTGAACAGAGAGATGGTTCCCAGGTGTGCAGCCAGTAACAGAGAGAAAGAATCTCAGAATGGTTTTCAGGGTGGTCAAGTACTGTGCTGGGCATGCCCACATGTCTCAGGACCAAAAGCATGGGACTATTTACTCTAGAAAGAGAGTCCAAAAATGAAAAGAGAGGTAAGAACACGGAGGGGAGAGAGATGAGAACAACGGTGTGTGTTAGTCTCTGAAATTCCACCCCTACATCAGAACACTCACATTTAGAACAGCTAAGAATCACAAAACCATCCCAAGAATAACTAGAAAGATGGGCAAGCATAGCCGATGTCATGGTCCAATCATTTTGTTGTTGTTGTTGTTATTGTTTTTACCTTAAATGATTCCCATCCATGTCTCCTCATTCACCTTGAGGCGTTGTCTATTTCAGTTTCTATTTCAATTGCTGACACCCTCTACCCGCAACCCCCAAGTAGTCTTCTTGTCTAATCTTTACCCTTCCACAGTCAGTCATTCGTATGACTAACAATTTTTACCTTCTCTGGTCTAAAAACCCTTCACAGGTCACAGCCAAGACTCATAAATGGGTTGATGTTCATGGTCCTGTGCATTCTGGCTCCAAATGTGGCTCTCCCCCCCCTGCTGCCGCTGCTCTCCACCCCTGTCACAATCCCATAGCTTGTAGTTTCACCGTCCGACTTGCCGGTGTCTGGGCACACCGCACAATTTGTCATTGTCATCCCTTCGATCCTGCTCTTCCCTCTACCCAGAATGCCCTTCCTACTTACCTTAAGGCTCAACTTTATTACCTCCTGTGGAAGTCTTCCTTTAATGTTCCCTCTATGGAATTGTTCGTTCCTCTGTAGTCCCACACGCCTTTTTATACATACCACATTTAACCGTCATTGATAATAGTTCTGTCTTGTTTTCATCGGAGGGTGAATTGAGGTCCTTGGGTAGACAATCGGTCTCATTTATATTTTATACTTTGTTTCCGAACGTATTCAATGTATGACAGATATCAAACATTCTATCTAAGATTCTTTCCAACATGCTTCTAGAGATTTATTTTTCTAAGGAGTTAAATGACAAAGAAGGAAAATCTTTACTACTACAAATGGCTTCAATTCCAAGAGGAAAAATGTACTAACTGCTGCAACATTAACATGCCCCCCCCCAAAAAAATGCCATTGCCTCAGATTCAGGGAAAATCTGTTTCTACTTTTACTGTAGTGAAGGTTTTATTAATATTCATTTTTTTCAGTTTAATGGGGACGTGCCCGATAGCACGTGCACAAGCTAAAACATCTAATATTATTTCACATCTTTTTTCTTGATGGAATAGTTTTGCGATTCACAGTTGTCCTAATATTTGAGTGCAGTCCAAGAGTTCCTGAATTGACAGTAGTTTCTCTTCTCTGAAAGGTTCTCAGAAGTTGATAATATGACTCTTGTTTCCCAAAACCCAACGTCCAAAAAGCCACAAATTCTCCCTTTAGAAAAACTTGGGTGCCATTGAATTGATTGTTGGAAAAGGAAACTTAATGTACTCAGCTGTGATTGGTTTCCTCCCCATCCACGCTGTCCTTTCCTGGCTAATGCTCAGCTGGAGTGTCTGCAAAGGACACACTGAGGCCGAGGGAAGGGAGAGATGGAGACTGTCCGAGCTCCGGAGCTGTTGATGACGTCCCCTTTGTCACGACCCAACTGAGCTCTCTTCAGATCATAGCTGCTCTCAGACTCTCTTCAGGGCCCTGATTGAAAGCATGGAGTCTTTCAAATAGAATCAAATGGATTCCTGTGCTACTAAGTAAACACTTAAAATAATAACAATAAATTCACAGCAAAGAAGTATTTCAGCCACACTGAATATACCAAAACAACCAAAAAACAAAAACAAACCTCCAGTCCCCCTAAACTGGAAAGAAGAATCAAGCTGGGGTGCATTAAAGTGATGACCACCAGAGTTCTGCTCACACTTCTGCTGTCATTTTTTTGTTCAGAACCAGAAAGTGATTACTTTGGGAAGTCTATTTATAATCTGTCATTCCTTGCATGGCCCCTCTGTAATTGTGTTTCCCTTCCGGGAGTCCGTCAGAGTTCAGGCATTGACAATCTGCTGCGATTGATGTGCAATATCTTAACGTTCCTCCCCTTCTTCAACCCACAGAGCAATGCTAAGAAGACTTCCAGGTTAAAGAATTAAAAGGAAGAACAACTTCTGAGAAGAAGACCGTCTTCAAAGGTAGGGCTTTGTCTTCTTAAGGATTTTAGATGATTTCATCTCTGAAGAAGCGAATTATCTCATAAAATGACCTGGTTATATGATATCATTCCCATGTTTAATATTATTTTCAGTCCAGAGCATATGATGAAAGACAGGACACAGGCATATCGATGCAAAATCATGAATCACAATGCTTGTCAAAGAAGATAGATCAAATATATAGGAAAGAAAACCAGGCTTCCTGACCCTTCATAGTAACTATATTTTTGTTTTTATAAAATCATAAAGCATAGGACTACTGTTAGTAAACAGCTTGCTCCTGAAGATGACAAATTGTAGGAAATCATTTCCAAAAGTATTCTTTTTGGTCCAACTGCATGTTAAAACAATCAAAAATCCCCTGAGAACGAACGTACTATACATAGAGGATTTGTCTTGTTGTACAGTGATATCTAAATAATGCAGACATCCGTTTTGAAAGTTTAAATATTGCTTTGCTGAGTGCTTACTGTGCTGCAAACCCCGTTCCCATCCCTCACTCCCCCCACCCCCCACCTTGATGCCATTCAGACATTTCAGCTCTAGAACAGACTTGGCCAGGGCTGTGGTGCCTTCGAAAAGGTCATTGCGATAATACTCAAGTTGATGGAAAAGATCTTACTGGGAGATCTGGAACACAGTTCAGAGAACTGTGTCGCAACCAATAGTGGCCTTCAGAAGGAATTATGAGGGCGTGATTGTTTGGAAAGTTAGTTCTCCACCTCATAGGTTTCATTGACCTCATCAAAGAAATGCTCATGGTCTTTGAGAACAGAAGATTGCCCGTGAGATTCTGTGGGAGTAAAATGTGCCGAGCATGTGGTCCCTTGTCCCTGAGAATTTTAAAGTTGATCCATGCAGATGATATTTTGTATTGAAGAGGAAATGATTCATGCCTAAGTTGAGATTGCTTCTGTTGTGTTGTCTTGCAGCTGATTTCGTATGACTAACTAGTTCTTCTGGTGTTTCAAAATTCCATCAGAAATCCCCCAGATGGAAACTAAGAAATGTTGCTTTGTAAATCAGATAGCACCATGCTTTGCTCTTGGCAAGTGTCCTTGAAAATGAAGCCTTGTTAGATGAAAATTAGCACAGAGTAGCAAAATTGATAAAGGTGGTAATTGTGCCCTTATTTCATGAACTGAAGAACACCTGCAAGGTAAGCTCCAACCATCAATAGAGATATGAAAGTCTATATACAATACCAAATCCAATTGTTTGAGATGTCTAAAGCACTGGTTCTCAACCTGTGGGTCACAACCCCTTTGGGTCAAAGGACCCCTTCACAGGGATCCCTAATTCATAACAGTAGTAAAATTACAGTTATGAAGTAGCAACAGTTGGGGGGGCGGGGGTCACCACAATATGAGGAACTGTATGAAAGGGCAATGGCATTAGGAAGGTTGAGAACCACTGGTCTAAAGGGACAAAAGAACCCTAAATCATATATGATTTGAGACCATTTGTTCAGTCTTAAATCAGAAAAGATGTGGCAAAGACAAAGGGCACCTGGATGAGGGAGACCATTAGCACCAGGTTGTAAGGGAGCCCAAGGGCTTACCGAGAATCAGAAGGACCTGGGAGGACAAAGGAAATTGTCACAGAAGCAGCAGCAGCGGCAGATCCATCCAGCTCGTCACAAGGGGGACTTCAGAGGTGGGAATGGGACCAGCATTGGGACATACACATTGCATTAAGCAGAAAAACTTTCAAAGCAGTCAGGATGTATGTGACCCTAGCACCCCAATTTCCATTCTGGGAACATCCACACAAGTCCCTAGATGCCATGCTGCTATTTCCTGGACCAGCTAGGGGAGGGCAGCAGATTCCTTCTCTAGGGCACTCTGCCTGAGGGCAAAGCCATTCAGCTCTAGTCAGGGTCAGAAGGAATCCAAAAGAGACTGAATGTATGTGGAGGCTCATGCATGCCCTACAGGTTGCCACTGTAACATATAGCCCTCTAGCAACACAGTGGCATTGTGGTTAATCACTGGGCTGCTATCCGCAGGGTCAGCAGTTCAAAACCACTAGCTGCTCCTCAGGAGAAGGCAGGGCTTTCTACTCCCATACATGGTTAGAGTCTTGGAAACTCACAGGGGCCATTCTACCCTATCCTATAGAATGGCTAGGAGTCGGCATGGACTCAATGGCAATCAGGAATCAGTAGTAATCATGTTAGGCAAGTGGCTTACCAGTAACCACTAGTGTGTTCAGTAAGTTACGCCAATGTCTATTGATATGATACACTGTGGGACACCTAAGAGAAGTACAACGATAGCAAGCTCTGGGGTTTTGTAACCAATGGTGGGCTCTGGTAAAGAGGGAAAATACACAAAGACAAAACCACCGCTAAATGCCTGGGGTCCCTTTCAGATGGCTTTCCAACTTACAAGGGCACTCTGGGGTCATTTCAAAGGCATTTTCCTGGCTAGGTAGAGTATCCCCCACCCCACCCCCACTTTTATTCATTACAGGAGAGTCATCTGATTGAAAGCCTCTATCTTCCAAAGCAGCAAGTGAAAAAAAAGCTTCCGTTCCACCTCTCTCAGTACATACCCCTTTCTGATCTCTTTTTGGCCAGCCTCTGCAGCGTGACTCAAGGGGACGGGCCCTTGTCAGACACGCTGAGAAGATCATTTCATTTTATCTTTGTGAGCGGTTTCATCTGGCGGACACTAAATGCTGTGTCTTCCCCATTTCTTTCCCTCACCCCACAAAGACTCGGTGAAAGTTCCCAGAATTCTAAAGCACACTTGTATTCGGTGTCCCCAGGCTATTCAGGAATTCAGCCTCCGACACTACAATAAGAAAAGTCTTTTCCAGGGTGGGGTGAGGTGGGGAGCCCCTTAGAATTTCCTGTAGTGTTTCCCACGTTCACTCCTGTGCTGTGGTATCCAAAAGATCCGAGCATCCGAAAGGGTGGGCTCTCATCCGTCTCTCTGGGGCGGGCTGCTGCTGCTTCCAGAGCCCTGTCCACTGACCTTCAGAAAAACTATGTGCATGGTGGAGTTCATGCTAATGTGCACATTCTCTCCAAGGAAAACATATCTACCATCCACCTGTGTAGAAAACCTTCTGCTAAAACAGCGCTTCTCAACCTGTGGGTCTAAACCCTTTGGGGGTCGAAGGACCCTTTCACAGGGGTTACCTGATTCATAACAGTAGCAAAATTACAGTGATGAAGTAGAAACGAAAATAACTTTATGATTGGGGGGGGCATCACTACAACATGAGGAACTGTATGGAAGGGTTGCGGCATTAGGAAGGTTGAGAACCACTGCTCTAAAATGTCAGCTTGCGGAGAGTGGCATTTCCACGAGGAGCCACGGTGAGAGAGAGTGCCTCCAAAAACCCACTGACTATCTGGTCAGTTAGATTCCTGGCAACCTAAAAGGCAGAGTAGAACTGTCCCTGTGGGGTTTGCAGGCCGCAAAGCTGACATCCTCCTTTCTCCTGTGGAGCAGCTGGTGGGTTTGAACTGCTGAGCTGACCAGGTAATTCACAGCCCCATGTGTCGCCCGGTGTAGCAGCAGCGCTCTGATTTAGACTCGAGTCACCATCCATCGTAATGAGCCTGTAGAAGAAGAATGCCCATGTGACACACGACCCCAGGAAGCTTGTGTCCACATTTGCCAAACTATGAAGAATGAAAAATCTTATGGGAGTTATTTACTGCTTTTTTTGAAAGTTATTTCCTTTGGACTCATTGTATAACTTTTTTTTTTTTTAATGTTCATATGCAACGAAGCCCACATGGAAGAAGCACACCAGCTGGTGCGATCACGTGGTGTCGAAGGGATCAGGTATCAGGCATCATCAAAACAAAAAATCTTACCATAGTGAATGATGGGGGCAGTGCGGAGTGGAGACCCAAAGCCCATTTGTAGGCCACTGGAGATCCCCTTGCAGAGGGGTCTCAGGGAGGAGACGAGCCAGTCAGGGTGCGATGTAGCAACGATGAAACACAACTTTCCTCTAGTACCTAAATGTTTCCTCCCTCCCTCCCCACTATAATGATCCGAGTTATGGTCCAAGTTGCAAATGGATAATGGCAAAAAGACTTGACCTTATAATTACTGATTCAATTTGTAAATGTGAACTAATATTTTATTCAAAATCTTGGATAAAAATGCAATTTCTATATGACTTAACAATGAAGGGGTGTATCAAAACTTTGTTCCTACACATTGGGCCTCCACTCAAGTATTCCATCAATGCAAGAATACTTTGTTCTATTAAATTGGCATTCTATGACGCTCACCTTCCTGACACAACCACTGAAGACAAAGCGGGTGAATAAGCAAATGTGGTGAAGAAAGCTGATGGTGCCCGGCTATCAAAAGATACAGCGTCTGGGGTCTTAAAGGCTTGAAGGTAAACAAGCAGACATCTAGCTCCGAAGCAACAAAGCCCACATGGAAGAAGCACACCAGCCTGTGTGATCACAAGGTGCCGAAGGGATCAGTTATCAGGCATCAAAGAACAAAAAATCATAACATTGTGTGCTCACCTCCTGATACAATCGCTGAAAACAAATGGGTGCATAAGCAAATGTGGCGAAGAAAGCTGATGGTGCCCGGCTATCAAAAGATACAGCGTCTGGGGTCTTAAAGGCTTGAAGGTAAACAAGCAGACATCTAGCTCCGAAGCAACAAAGCCCACATGGAAGAAGCACACCAGCCTGTGTGATCACAAGGTGCCGAAGGGATCAGTTATCAGGCATCAAAGAAAAAAACATATGAGGGGGAGTGAGGAGTGGAGACCCAAAGCCCATTTGTAGGCAACTGGACATCCCCTTACAGAAGGGTCTCCGGGAGGAGATGAGCCAGTCAGGGTGCGATGTAGCAACGATGAAACATACAACTTTCCTCTAGTACCTAAATGCTTCCTCCTTCCCTCTCCACTATCATGATCCCAATTCTCCCTTACATATCTGGCTAGACCAGAGGATGGACACTGGTAGAAATAGGAACTGGAAA